ATGGCATTATACAAAGCTACAAACACTCACTAGACATTCTTTTATACAAAGCTACAAACACTCACTAGACATTGTTTTATCCAAAGCTACAAACACTCACTAGACATTCTATTATCCAAAGCTACAAACACTAGACATTCTGTTATCCAAAGCTACAAACACTAGACATTCTGTTATCCAAAGCTACAAACACTCACTAGACATTCTATTATCCAAAGCTACAAACACTCACTAGACATTGTTTTATCCAAAGCTACAAACACTCACTAGACAGTATATTATCCAAAGCTACAAACACTCACAAGACATTCTATTATCCAAAGCTACAAACACTCACTAGACATTGTTTTATCCAAAGCTACAAACACTCACTAGACATTCTTTTATCCAAAGCTACAAACACTCACTAGACATTCTTTTATCCAAAGCTACAAACACTAGACATTCTGTTATCAAAAGCTACAAACACTAGACATTCTGTTATCAAAAGCTACAAACACTAGACATTCTGTTATCAAAAGCTACAAACACTAGACATTCTGTTATCAAAAGCTACAAACACTTACTAGACATTGTTTTATCCAAAGCTTTCATTTCTAAATATTCAGAGCCTGGAAAATTGAGACCTTGCAGTGGGGTGACAATCAACAGGCCTGACTTCTCTGTGAACTGCAAAAAACCAACCACAGATAACTTTTTTTTATTTCTTTTAAAGCAACTTCTCGTCACATGCTTGTTTAGCGGCCTAAACCCAGAGATAATAAGTATTGAACGTTAATATTAAAAACAAATGAACATTTTAAAAAATGACCATGAAGCCCAATTCTTTAACTACCCCCCCCCCCCCCACCCTTTCCACTTTCCTTTTCACTTCTTGTTTTATTGCAACATTAATCTAAAAGACCACAAATCCCCCCCCCCCCCCACCCCCAAGCTTTTCCTGATCTAACACAAATTCTGTATATATTTCAGAGTGGATTCTGGCGCATTACAGACCTGACTAATTAATACATTTTTTTAAGAAGTGTCTTATTGTGAGGCACTATCATCATTTAGAGCAGTGTTTTTTATCTGGATCCACAACATCATTTAAAATAAAAACTCTTAACATTGAAATGCCATTCCTCTTTTTTTTTTTTCTCTTTGCAATTCTAATATTTATAAATTATAATAATTCCTCAATATGGCTTTTAAAAGGTATGAAACCCACAGTAAGTTAAAGTAAAAAAAAAAAAAGTAAAAGACCCTTTTCCACGTCTTTAGGCATGTAGGGCTAGACCTATATTTTTATAGACCAACGGCACAAGATGGGTGATGTGGTCAGCATCACGCCGGCTGCCTCTACTTCCCATGACTGCACCCTGTACCCACTCAAGGCTGGGTCGACCTGGGAGCCAAGGTCATTTTTTGAAGAAAAGTCCAGCTCCACCAGGGAGCGAACCTACGACTTTCTCTGCCACGGCGACTCCCAAACCCACAGTAGACCTTCAAAAATTATAAATGTCCGCAGATCTAAGCTAATTGGGAGCCACTGATTTAAAGGTTGCTGGTTCAAATCTATGTGTGCCTGAAGATTTAAATTTTTATATTGCCTCATTTGCTTTATTACCTATACTTTTCTCCTTTACAAATATAAATGCCCATGAAAAACTGACAATTTACTTCTAAAAATATCTAATAAAACTTTAGTATCCTGTAACCATACCTTGATTTTTGGTCGAGAAATAGGATACAGAATCAGCAGTAAAGAAAGTCCAATACCAATGAGAATTCCATACTGAAAAAGTAAACAAGAAAACAATTAATGAGTAGTCTCCACTTTTAGTTCTGTTAGCTTTACTGACATTATCAAATGACTTAGGGTGGTCCAGTAATGCTGTGATTAATTTTTCCTAAAGCACTATAGGTCCTCCCATATTCATTGTTTCTTCTTCTTTTTCTTTACTGACTAAAATCTGGCAATAAATTCAGGCAGAAAGTTGTCTTTCCCTCTAACTAGCTGACTGTCCCATCATTCTTCAGTTTTCCCATTCTTATGAGATATCTAATGAGTAGTCTATCTTACTTTGAGGTTCTTCTTCTTCTTCTTAGCATTCACCAGCTGTAAACTCTGGTGGAAAGTCCCTGTTGTAGGTCTTGTTCTAAACTTTAGTATTGTTCTATTATTTAAAGTTTAAAGTAACAGTTGCTTGAAACAGAGAGAGTTAAACTAGAGCCAGATGTTCTTCTTCTTCACTTTTGCTGGCTGCAAACCCCAGTGAAAAGTCTTGCTTTTTCATCCACTTCTAGTATTAGGAATTGAGTGTCTCATGCCCATTTTTTTAACAGATTTGGTTTATTTGTGTGCAGACTGTTGGTTCCTTGCCTCTCAGGTAGATGCAGTATGACTTCGAAGCACACACTGATCTTTTCTACTCTGACTAGGCTCCTGGTTGGGAACCTGTTTCTAGTATGATCCCTGTTCAACATCTCTGCATCTATATCATCTTCATGTCACCGTCGACACATTAGGCATTCGCAAATGATCTCCACTGCTGTCGGTCTGCTGCTTTTCTCTTTATGGTATCCCATGTCATTTTGCTTTTTTTCTTTTCCCTTTTTACTGTCACTCTCCTTAAGTCATCCATTTCTTTTTCCAATGCTGTCCAATGGAAAGCTGTTCTTTACTGAAATATTAGTCAACAAATAATGTTTTATATTTTCAGTTGTCTATTATAAAATGACAGGTGTAACTAAAGTCTAACACAAAACAATAACACCATTTGTTCTCTTAATTGTAGCTAACTTACCTCAATTCCAACAACCAAAGAACAGATGAATGTAATAACGAATGTAAAAAGATCCCATTCTGTAAGACAAAAATTGAAACCCATAAACAATGTAAAACTGAATTTAATATAAATTTAAAATACATCACTGTTATCATTATAATGATGACTGTCAATATTATGACCATCATCACCATGGTCATCATCCTCACTATCATCATCCTGTCATCATCATAATCATAATTGTCATTATCATCACTGTCATCATCATAATCATCATTGTCATCATAATTATCTTCTTCATCATCATCCTCATCATCATCATCACTGTCCTCATCATAATCATCCACTGTCGTCATCATAATCATCACTGTTATTATCATCATAACTGTCATCATCATAATCATCATCATTACTGTTATCAGTACAATCCTCACTGTCATCATTAAAATAATCACTGTCATCATCACCATCATAATTTTCATCATCATAATCATCACTGACATCATCATCCTCTCTGCCATCATCAACACTGTCATCACCATCACTGTCATCATCATAATAATCATTGTCATCATCATCATCATGTCCATCATTGTCTCCATCATTACCATCCTCACCATTATCACCATTATAATCATTATCACTGTCACCATGTAATCATAACTGTCCACCTCATCATAACTGTCATCATCATAATCATCACTGTCATCATCATAATCATTACTATCATCATCACAATCATCACTGGCATCATCCTCATCATGACTGTCACCTACATCCTACATAATCATTGCTGTCATCATTACAATAATCACTGTCATCATCATCACTGTCCCTATCATCTTCCTTGCCATCATTGCTTTAGGCCAATAAGCTTTATCTCTCTTGGTCTGCTTCTGCCTTTTCTGCTGTTGATCTTTCCAGTCATCATGGTGTTCTCCAGTGCCTCTTTTCTCTTCACAGGACCAAGAACACTGGCTGCCTTTTGTTATAGTGTTTTATAGTTTACAGCATAAGACAATCCAAATCAGCACAAAGAGACATCTTATTCAAAGCATATTTATTCCAACTCTGTGCTACCAGTGCCAGACATGGTCACTCACAACAAACCATAAAAGAAAATTAGTAACCATGGAAATGAGATGTCTGAGAAGGGCTGTAGGAGTGACCATAAGAGATAAGATCAGGAATGAGATCATAAGAGAAAAAGTCGGCACAGAACCAATTCTAAATTACATACAAAGTCAGCAAGTGAAATGGTTTGCCCACTTATAGAGAATGCCTTGTGACGCCATACCATACAAAGCACACATGGAAAGAGAAGAAGGACGTAGAGCAAGAGGTAGACCAAGAACAATATGGAAGGTTAACATCAGAGAAACTTTACAACAGCACAATGTGCCTATGGTCTAGGCGGCCAGAAGAGCTAGAAACAGAAACTTATATCTCCCTCGACACCCACAGCGGTAAAAGAGGTGTGAAGAAGAAGAAGTTTTAAGTTTTCTTATCTACCATAGCTCACCTAAAATAAATCATAAAATATAATATATTCAGTTCCCTGTGTGGGTTCCGGGGCCCTGTTATAGGGAAAACAAGAATAGACCCACTGCTTACCCAAAAGCATGTCTTAAAAGTCGACTAACTGGGAGCTTTCTTTAAAGTCGGAGTGCATCTGCCCGAGAGGCAAGGAACCAGCTGTCTAGATACAAATGAGTCAGATCTGTAAAATTGATGCACACGCAACAGTCAAGTTCTGGAACAGGACTAAAGTCCAGAAGTTGATGAACAACCATAACTTTTCGCCAGAGTTTACAGCTGGTGAACGCGAAGAAGAAGAAAAAGAAGAAATTCAGTGAAACCAATCTTACTGTTTGCTTTCCAGAGAACGATGACAACATGGTACTCAACCATCTGAATGACAGCAGCAATGATAACTGCAGCCAGGGCAGACTTGGGAATGTAGTAGAACCAGGGTGTGAGTACACAAAGGGCAAGGATGACCAGACCACCTGTCCAAATGCCGCCCAGGGGTGTACGTACACCACTCTGGGAGTTTACTGCGGTTCTGTGAACATAAATAATTTGATCAATTACACACTTCTGATTCATTTCCAAAGCTTACAAATGTTTTCCCTGACCATATCAACTGATGCTCAGTCTTCATGCAATAAACTACAAATACTGTAAATTTCAGTATGAGCTCTGAACCACCAATGAGATTACACACTTCAATTACACACTTCTGATTCATTTCCAAAGCTTACAAATGTTTTCCCTGACCATATCAACAGATGCTCAGTCTTCATGCAATAAACTACAAATACTGTAAATTTCAGTATGAGCTCTGAACCACCAATGAGGATTCCAAGTATTTATAAACTAGAATCACAGATACAATGAATATCATTTGTGGGTGGATTTTATAACTATGATATTAACACAGACAGCAGAATACCTAACAGGCTATGTTTTTTTCTGCCACTGATCAGAACACAGAACATAGTTTTCACATTTATCTCAAAAGGGTAGATATCCAAGTCCTGTCATTGGGAACGAGATAGAGTGTACCAACTCTGAGCAATTGTTAACTAATTCACAGCACTCAGAATATGAATCATACAGATATATATAATTAAAAAGCAGACATCATATTTGTCTGTTATTCCGACCCTATAAAATAAGTGACAGCCAAATACACTACTTTTTAAAAAAAAAAGGGTGGGGGGGGGGGGGGGGGGGGGAATGCACTGCTACTGAAATGAACATAAATTTGACATTTATAACCTTTCTAATTTAACAAGTGAATTTGTTCAAATTGCACATAAAATACCTAGGGTTGAACCAATCAATTGACATTTCTTTTGCGCCTAGTTCATTGATAGTTTTTAGGTGTAAGGGCTTTCCCATCAACTAATAAAATTGTATCATCGGATAACTATGGGTTGTTTTTTTTAAATTGTTTTCAAAGTATATCAAAATTTTTTTTTTTATATAGTCAACAAGAGAATCCATACTGGTAGCCACTGACCTGGAGAAGCTTCCAGTGATGGGATATGAAGAGACGAATGAGCTGATGATGTTGGCAATTCCAATGGCCAGAAGTTCCTGAGTAGGGTCAATCTTGTAGTTGTTGGCTCGGGCTGGAATCAAAATAAAACTGTTGTTTGCACCAGCTTTGGAAGTTCTCAGTTTTATTGTTATTACCGAAGAACCTCTATAAGTTGACCACCTAAGAGGCTGTAGCAAACCAGTCAACTTATGGAGGTGGTCAACATATGGAGTGAGGCTTCTTGTACTGATATTATACTTTCTTGAGCAACTTAGATTTGACGATACAGTATCATATGAAATCATACATAACCACAGCAAAAAATCAAATCATCATCTGTTTTATCATGGTTTAATCAATCTTTCTGAACAAAATGGAGTCAATCTTAGTTAGTGTCTTTTTCTTATTACAACAATCTGTTACTAGATGAACCCCCCCCCCCCCCCTACCCCACCCCATTCCCCATCCCCTCAGGGATACTAGAACCTGGGGACTTAGGTCACTTGAGTGCCGCCCCCCCCCCCCCATGATCTATAAAATTGATGAGCCCTCCCAATGTTTTCTTAATGTTGGCACCCCTGTAATAACAGAGTCTGAAACTGCATTGCCTCTCTTGTAATTCTTCTGATGATTGTTGCAGCATTTGTGCACCATTCACACGGTCAGGCAATGATTTTAGCTTAAGGTAACTTCAAATACATTCCAAAAGCAGTGCTGGAACTGGAGGCTTAGGCACCAAATTGTTAGGAGTTGATAAGCCCTCCCCCCCTATCCCCAGAACATTTGTGAAGGGGAAAAATGGCCCTACCTAACCATGTATAGAGTATAAATGTACTCTTTTAAGCATTAGTTTGTAAATGTATTTATCATTATTGTCATTATTGTTCAATTTTAAAAGTCTCAATTCCTTTGAGGTCCCCCTGATTAAAAGAGGTTCACAGGACCATTACACTTTCTAACTGCAGCAAATTACATATAAACAGCACTGGTTAAGACCAGCTGATCAAGTTATAAACTCCTAGGTCAAGTTACATAAGGTAAATTGCTATTAGTGTGTCAAGTAGTCAAGATACAACTTACAGAGATAGTCAACATTTAGAGATAGTCTTCCACTGTGAATACATTGTGAATGTCTGATCAATGAAGAAAAGGTCAACTTCTTGATGTGGTCTACATGGTCAAAGTTTTTGGTTCTACCCCATGTGTTGTGTGTCTACGTGTGTGTGTGTGTGTGTGCATGCATGTGTGTTTGTGGGGTCTACTGCATGTGTAATGTATTTTAACTAACACAATGAAAACAAAAACATAGGGAAGGAGTTAGAAAAGGAGAAAAAAAGAGAAGAAGCAGGTTGTGGGGTGGGGGAGGGGGGGGGGGGTAGTAACTCTTTAAAACTTGTCAATAATGGTTAATAAATTATATAATTACCAAAGGCTTTTCCAATCGCCATGTTCTCTACGAGGGCTAACAAAGGAACAATACCCACTCCAGCACCAATTTTCTGTTTGGGGAAAGACAAATAGATTTGTAACCATATTTGAATATTAAAAAAAAAAATATTAAGGGGGCAAGAGGGGGGGGGGGGCAAAATCTGTAAAATAACCCAGTTGTTAATGTTTTCATTACTCAAAGTAACACAGGCGTCATCTTCATGTAGAATGTCCTTTGCAAAACATTGCTCTCATTACAGCCTACTAAACAACAAAAATTATCAGTTCATTGTTAGTTCTAGTGCCAGTTATCCCCATGTGGGTGCAGTTTTCTCATTATTTTGAAGCCCAACTGTTGCCAGGGCCCTAATATAACCTAACGGTTGAATGGAGTTTCTCGGGACCTCTCCACAGGTGATCCTCATCCGAATGGTGGACTTTGTGTCACTGGGTTTTTAATCGCTCTGTGTGATGTCCTGGTGGGGTAAAACTTACTTACTTACTCTACTGTCAAGTGTATTTTCATGTGCAATTCATCTCTGAAGTTCTGAGTTAACCCTTCAAGGTTCAGTTTTTGATGGATCAGCCCATGATTGGAAGGACCATAAGTCCCATTTTTGTTGAATTAACCCATGACTAGGGTGACCATAAGTCTCCTTTTTTGCTGGAACAATCCATGACTAGGGGGACCAGAAGTCCCTCATTTTTTGCTGGATCAACCCATGATTAGGGGGGACCAGAAGTCCCATTTTTGCTGGATCAACCCATGACTAGGGGGGACCAGAAGTCCCATTTTTGCTGGATCAACCCACAACTAGGGGGACCATAATCACGTTTTTGCTGGATAGCCCATAACTAGGGGGACCATAAATCGCATTTTTGCTAAATCAACCCATGACTACGACTAGGGGAGACCAGAAATCCCATTTTTGCTAAATCAACCCATGACTAGGGGACCATAAGTCCCATTTTTGCTAGGGCGGTAATGTTTTTTAAGGTAGGCTTAGACTTCTCTGTCAATACTAATTATTGACTGAAACAATGGCTTTTTTTTTTTTTCCTCAGATTGACGAGACTGGGCCTACCTTAAAAAACAATACTGTCCCTGTGATATGATCACCCTTACACTGACTTTTCTTCATAGTATCATAGCTTTCATTACTGTTTATTCTACACAAATGTGGGGTTTGATATGGCCACAGTTTTTTTTAATTTCTGAGACATTCATGTGTTTATGAACTTCATTCCATGACTTAATTGGTCTTGGAAAATAATTTCCATAACACAGGGGGGTTTTGCTAGTCACACTGACCATCCTTCTGAGCTGTGAGTCCCATACTTCCTTATAGCACAAAATAACTCTATCATCTGGAATGATGGAAACATGCCAACATAATGTTTATGCACAAATTTGCTTTGTTATTAAGATCTTGTATTATATTATTACTGTTCTTTTCCTTAGGTATCTGTGTGAGTGTGTGTGGATGAGTTGGTGGGGGAGTGCTGGCCTGCCTGTGTTCATACTAACATACATATGTGTATGTATGTGTGTGTATGTGAGTGCGTGTGCATGTGTGCGTGTGCGCATGTGCGTGTGCATGGGTGTGTGTGTGTATGTATACATACATGCATGTATAAGTAGCAAATGAAACAAACATGGATTTCTGAATGTATGGTGCTGGACATCGTGTCTGTCAACAGCTTCCTATCTTGTATGCTGTCACTCATTCCTGCTTCACATGCTCCTCTTTAAAATGATGCCAACAATCTGGCCAATGATGGCTGACCAAAGAAAAGGCAAGACAAACATTTTGTCATGCTTCAGCTGCCGCAATTACTACTGGACCTGCAGTGGCAGCTAAAGATGAGGGACATACCACTCATGGAATGCCCTGATCATTGTGATGCTGGTTCATATCTCAGCATGCCAAACTATCCAACATGTTCTCTCTTTCCCTCACAGTCTCAATACTCTTCAGTTTTTCCATTCTCACGACATGTGCAAGGAATGGATGTTTTTTTTTCCAGGCTCTTTTTATTAGCCTTCACCACCTATAAACTCTGGCAGAAAGTCCTGGGTGTTCATCCACTTCTGGAGTTTAGTCTTGTTCCAGAACATGAGTTTTGTGTGCACATTAGTTTTACATATTGGTGAAACTGCACATAGATTATTAATTCTTTGTCGCACATGTGTATTTACTCCAATTTAAAAAAAAAACATCTGTAACTAGTCGCCATTTTATGACACGCTTGTTACAGGAAGTCTATTTCCACGCTCACCCCATCCCCCTCAAGTGGAGTCCAAAAACCCAAACCAGGCTAATAAAGCAATTAACTAATTCTATTTATGAGTTAATGGCTTTGAAGACATCCTCCCTTAAGACAGAAAGAAAAGGCTTACCGCAAAAATATCAGCACTGGACATTGTAATATTGTAATCATTGATCTGAAATTTGGGAGGTTCAAAGGGTGGTAGGCCAGCCTTGATCTTGCCTGTCACACTGATCACATTCTTGATTCCATAAATTTCCAGAATTGCCACCACCACACAATATGCAATTTAGCATTTTCCGCCTGTGGACTAACATAAAAGGACTACAATCACTGATCTTTTAACATTTCAGCCCCAAAATCAAGTTCACAATTGTTTTCATTCTCTGTTTTTTCAGGGCGTTTTATCTAAAGATACAACTCTTTTAATTCACTGTTTTTTTGATCTTTTACACATCAAACTTCTTGTCCAAGTAAATTCCATCTCCATTGGAGTACTGTGCTAAAAAAATCATATATTGTCAAGGTATTCACACATTGGATTATTTCTTGGCCTTGGCTTCCATGTTTTCTTATGTAGAGTCCATGATTTCAGGCGTTGGGCATCTCATTCACAAAGCTGTCTCAATCATAACTCTGACACAGATTTATCTCTCACATCAAAGATGTCTCTGTTATCGTCTGTTAGCTATTTTGAAACATTTTCCCATCTCTACAATGTACTCCAGTTCTCCTTTTCCTGACTTGACCAAAGAAAGTAGACTGTCTCAATCTGATGTGAGTAAGATGTTCTCTTCATGAGTCAGTTTCTTTCTAGTTCTCTGTCCAGGGTGTTCTCATAATACATCTCTGCTGCTTCCAAAAATGTTTCACTAATTGTCCAGCTGTCTTGATTCATTTCCATATCTTGCAGGTCCACCCAGTCTAAAATGAATATAATACTGACCACATCACTCATAAGACACCATATGGTCTATATAAATATAGGACTAACATCATAAACCCAGGCTTACTTTTACATCATTGTAAACATTAGGGTAGAAACAGACCCTATTACAAGTTAGGCTCCCTTTGACCAAGAAATTTACCCGCAGCCTAGACGAGTAACATTTCCTTTGAGCGGTTTCTCACAGTAAAATCCTGCCTACGTACATTCTCTGTCAAGCCTCAAGGCTAGAACCTAATGTCCGATAAAGATCAATCCTATGGCACACAAGCAAAACTCAATGTCCGACCATCATAAATCTTAGTGATTGGCAAAAAAGTCCAAATGTTGGGACTAAACAGATGAAGCCATGCCTGATGCATATTTCTCCATACTGTCATGCTAAGTGCACAGATGAAACAACGTTGAAGGTGTCAAATGTGTGACGTTGAAGAATGTACCTATCTGTGTGGTCACAAAAGTCCTGGATCTGCTGGCTGCTCCCCACTGATCTCTGAAGGGTGCAGCCTGTGCCGAGCGGGAAGCTCAACATGCGATTGTGAGGTTAAGCAGTCATGTGCAGGACGTGACGATTCCTTGGGTAAGCCCAGAACCAGAGTGTTATGTGTCGGCTCTGCATTTATGGAAGCCTCTTTGGATGGTAGTGAATGCCCATGATCTGCCCCTGCCTCCCCTTGACCAATCGATATAGGGTTGCCCTAAAGGGGGTTCTCAGGGGGCAACATCTGTAGATAAAGGGACAAAGAGGACACCACACAAAATGAGGCAACATCTCATCCCACAAAACAAAAGCCACAGTCATCATAGAGATAGGCTTGACTTCTTCCCTCGAAGTCGGATTACATCTGCCGGGGAGGCAGTGAATGACAACTGCACACAAATAAGCCAGTTAAACGGATGTACATGCAAAACTCAAGTCCAGGTAAAAGTCAAAAGTCCAAATGGACGAACAACCAGAACTTTCTGCCGAAATTCACAGCCAGTGAACAAGAAGAAGAAGAAGAAAGGGTGGTTGGTGGACAGTTTGTTTTGTGGTTTACAGCTAACCTGTGATATCTGCACCTTTTGTTTCAACACGTCCATTACTAGCAGACTCCTAATTAGTCATCTTTTACAACATGCTCGTTAAGGAGCAGTGGGTCGATTCCTCCATCCCCACGTGGCCTCAGAACCCACATGATGAATATTGAAGACTTGTTAATGTCAACACTAGAACTGTCTCACCTATTCCAATCAGCCATAAGCATTTGCGGAAGATGATTTTGGGAACAGATGGTGGGACATCTGGGTTGTCCTTCCACTTGATAGTTCGCAAGTACCTCATCAGGATGACAATAACAAGTGATACTAGCCCCATGGTGAGGTCCCACACCCTGGAGAGATGAAGGGTTGCAGGTTGCTGTGTTAAAATATTTAAAATTCACTACTCTTGTTATGTACAATGTAAATGAACAAAGTTGCCTTCTTTAAGTACACGCACAATCCTAAAAAGCGAAATTTTCTTTTGAGTATAACAAGAACAGCAAACAGGAGTAAAATATCATACTGTTACATTTTATAATCAGATTAAAAGTTACTGTAGAGTATATACTGTATTTTCCTAAAAATAAGACAATCCATGTATAAGACATACTTAGATTTTGGGACAGGAAATTTGGAATTAAATAAAGTTGTTAAATTCATAGAATCCAGAAAACTCATCAGTCAAAACTCTCATCAATATGATAGTTCTTCAGCTTGTCCTCATCTGTGATGAGGAATCACTGTCTTCATATATTGCCTCATCCTCAGTTTCATCTGGTGTATCTGAAATGCTAACACTTCTTGAATGACTTGACAGCTATCTCAGTTTGTACTTTACCCCAGCATCTTTTTACCTAGATAAAAACTTCCCCTATAGTTGGTTTCTTCACACTACCTTCTGGTGTCAAATTGTCCTTGGAAGACTTCATCCAACAGTTCCATTCATCTCTCATGGCAACTGTAAAGGGTCTGTTAATGCTGAAATCAAATGGTTGATGCTGAGATGTCAAGCCTCCAACTTGACAGCAAGTTTTGTTTTCTTCTCTGCAGCAATCTTGTTTGTGTTTTCCCATTATGTGAGCCTTGAACTGGATCAAGCACCAATAGGGCAGATTTGCATAAGAGTCCACCTTGCCATCTACTTTGAACTTTCTCAAACCAGAACTTCATCCTATCCTGGTACATCCAAACTATTACAGTGAGAAAGATCTGATAATTTATCTTACATTATGTTATCCCTCAACCGGCATTCTCAAATCAGGCCCTGTACAAGGTATTTTCTATTAATTTAGTAAAAATCTACTACCACGGTATAAGAGGCACACTGTTTTTTTTAACTTATATTTTTGGAAAATAGTGTGTTTTATACCTGAGGAAATCCTGTATCTGATAATATGTACATGTTCTTCTCATGTTCTACTGCTTTTTATCTTTTCAAGATGCTGCCTAATTACTTTTCTGTGCATTCTTGCATTCACTGACATTTATTTATTCATTCCTAACATTGATTATAATACAGTTACTCCCAGTCTCTCATATAAATTTTGTACTCACTGGTACTCATTGCTAGTAAAGAAAAAATGTACATATGAAATAATTTGGTTGCCTCTCCTCAGGATCTATGCAAACTTTCTTGCTTCAGCTAATATTGCTATATTTTTCTCAAGTCGAATCCACGGCTGCTAATTTTATTTTGTATATATCGTTACGTCCTTCTTAGGACGTTATTTTTTGTTAATTGAAGCCCCACTCTGGCTTTTGCCAGGGGCCGCAATATAGGCAGGTCATCATTATGGCCAAATGTCTGAACGCGGTTTCTGGGACCTCTCCACGGTGATCCTCATCCGCATGGTGGCACTTTGTGTCATCGGGTGTTTATCGCTTGTGTGATGTCTTAGTGGGGTAAAAAAGCCAAGCCAAGCCAATTTTATTATAACAGAAGACATGGAACACTTACTTGGTCTGTGGTATTTTGGCACATGTTTCATAGACCATGTCTAGGAATTCATTGGGAATGTTCTTCAGTCCCAGAATGTTCTAGAGAACAAGATCAAAATATAAACAATATGTAACTCACAAAGACTTTAAACTGAGAATATTTTTGGAATTGAGGTAGTGAATATGTGGTTAGACAAGATTCTTTCTCTCTTTTATCTAATTCCAAGTTCTGTAATGCATGTCTGATGTTATGTAATTTGTAATTTCTCAGAATTCATAGCTAATAATGATAAATTTAGTTTCTAGCAAGTATAACTGTTAGTGATAAATCTATCAGTATAATTCTGATAAGTTTGCGGGTGTTAATCTAAACTAGTTACCAACACTGGTAATGATGGTTACAATAATATATCTATAATTATTTTTGTTTCCATCCATGACAGTTACAACGATAAATCTTTCATTATTTATGTTTCTATCGTATAAGCTACAATGATGAATTGATCTCTTCGATATCTTTGACAAAGATAATTAAAATCATAAATCTGTCCATTTGTGGTGTTTGACAATGATAATCCCAGTAATAAATCTCTCACCTCAGTAATAAATCTAACGTCTGTTCGACTTTTGACATTAAAAAGTGATAAGCATTTTATGCCGCTTTCACTGACACAGGAATGGGGCAATTGTGGTGGCCCATCTGCTGTGAAGTTGTAACTTGGAATGATAACCTGATCTTTCAACCTCAAAGATAAAGACAATATAGATTGGCTGACATAGCAGTTTAAAGAAAGGATGTCTTGTATCTACAGACCTTGACTTGTCCTAAAGCGATGGTGATTGCAGCAGCCGACGTGAAGGCACTGATCACAGGGAAGGAGATGAAGTTAACCAGTATGCCTGTGAATAGAAACACTGTGTCAGAATTTGCACAGGCCTACAGTAATGTGAATTAACTCAAGTAAATGGCCTATTTCAAGTGATTCGAGCATATGATGCTACCCATATTTGTATAGACCAATCTGCTCTTGATGGGTAATGTACTCAAAATCACTCCATCACTCTATCACTCCTTTAACTTCCCAAGGCTTTTCCCTGAGTACACATTTTATGCTGATCGACCTGTCAGCCAAGGTCATTTTTGAAAATTTAACTATATGCGGATGTGAAGCAAGGAACTTTTATCCAACAAGCAAGTGTCCAGCCACTCTGCTACAGTGGCTCCCCTACGGCAATGAACAGTCCCTTCTTTTCCTGGTTTGAACAGGCACTGGCGATCATAACTCCCTTTCTCTCTGTTATTACATAGTTTAGTGAAGCTCCTGTTGTTCAATTTATTCATTATTTGCTGTTCAGCTGGGTTAAACTTGGGAGCTGATGTAATGCAGTAGCTAATCCTATAATGTTACAGATGAATATTACTTTGACCTCTATGGACACGAATATTTATGACTTTCAATCTCTAATGGCAAAAACTGTTATTACTTTCATGTTCTAATGATATAGACAATTATTACTTTTAGCTTTCATTGGTAAAGTTAATAAATTCAGCTTCTAATAATACAAACATTTAT